GGCAGGGGAAAGGAGGGAGAGAAGCTGCTGCCTTTTTTTTTTTTTTTTTCCCCTTTTCCCCTTAAATCGCCGGTTTTCAGAGCGATGCCTTTGTAAGGCGACGAGGTGTTCCGTGCCAAGCCTGTCGGCTCAATGAATGGAGGGAGATTTCTTGGAAGTCAGCACTCTCGGGGCTGCCTCCAAGTTTTGCGAGCCTGCGGGGTGACATTATTTGTATTCCTGTGGTCCTCGCCGGCAGGAAACTTAGAGCGAGAAGAGGAGCCCGGCTCCTTGAGAGTGGGGACGTGTCCAGTGCTATGAATGTTTAACCTTTCTGTTAAAGGATGGGGGTTTTAAAGGCCAAATGCTGCCTGTACTTTGCACCCCAAAGCGACAGTGTTCTTGCTCTTACCGGCAGTGAAATACTCTGGTCTTCTGTGCAACAGCTGAGAGGGGAGGCCTTTGGTTGGGGCTGGCTGGAGGAGCAGGTTGGGGATCCAGGCTCCTTGGGAGACCTGTGTTACCCCCAGTTGGAACTGGTGTTGTGAATTAGCTTGCTGTCGGGCAGCTGGCTATTGATGGTCTCGTTAGGTCATTTAAGAAGGTATTGCCTTTTCAGAATGGAGTGATAAGTAGTAACTAAAGAGAAGGCCAGGATGGGAGCTGGTTGGTTGCGGGTCAGGACGGAGGTGTTTTACTACAGTGTCCTGGGATGATTTTTATTTATTTGTTTTCTCTACCATGTTATTCGATAGATACTCTCTGAAAAATGGGGCACTAAGTATCCACTGAGTGGAAGTCTTTGGTGAAGGATCTTATCTTCTAATAAAATGCAATTCCTAAAAATCATATTTAAATCCCTAATCTATTTATCCTTCTGAAAGTAGCACCGGTAGTAATGAGTAGTTCTGTTACCGGTTTACTTCGTGGTGTGCATTAGAATCCCACTTGTATATAGCAATGTTCACTCTTGCTTATATTAGCTCAGGTTTCTCATGCAATGACAAGAATGAGGTAAACACTGTAAAATAAGTTAATAGGCTTCTGAGACAAATGAAAACTCAGAAGAATAACTGATTTACAGCCTTTCTGGTTTTGTATAACATGTCCAAAGTAGATAACTTTCAGAATAAGGCTACTTTATAAGCAGCTGGTCTGGTTTTTAAGTCCATTGTCATATCTGAATGCCTCTGCTTAACTCCAGCCTCACTCCAATAATAATTTTATCAGAGTAACTTTATGTACTGTAGGCTAAAGATGTCAGCCTGTCAGGTAATAACATCTACTCATCTCCAACTACTTCCATCTCCTTTGATCCCTATTTTTACCCAAATGAGAATGTGGATTATGGTAAATGACACAGTGAAGACCACGTGTTTATAACCAGAAGTTCACTCCATCTGTAACTAGTACATTCAGGCAACTGTCTGCTTTTGTGATGTTTTAACACGGTTGATCATGGGGTGGGGGTTAATGTTGTGACAGAAATCAAAGGCATATTTTATTCTTCTTAGTGAAGTTTTAATTCTCCATCATCTTTGATCTCTTCTCCAGCTGTTCTCCATCCTGGTTGGCAAATGGACCTGGCTGGTTTTTGAAGAGTTCTCGTGCAAGACTGTGTGTGTTTGTTTGAGAATCCCAAATTATTTGGGTGCTAGGTACTATAAAGCCTTATTTTGGATAATAGCCAGTAGCGTTATTGCAGAGACTTAGTATCCTGCCATGCTAAGATTTAACTTGCATATTGCCTTCCTTGGTCTTTCTAAACCTGGAGTGCTACCCTAGGTGGCAATGCATATAGCACGGAGATGTGAAAGAAGAGGCTTGCCCTCTTGTTCTGCTCAGCTGCCAGAAAAGCCCCAAACAAACTAACCCGCGTGTGCGCAAGGAGAGCGTAGGTGGCTGAGATGCAATGAACAATTTTAATCATTCTCTTGAAGTCACTTTAAAGTCAATTTGCTCTTTACGCAAAAGTGATTGTTTAGAGCAAGTCCAAGTGTTTGTATGGCCGTGAGAGTTTCAGGATGTTTGAATGAAGTTCCTGCCTGTCTTCCGCCCCTTTTCCACACACGGAAGCACAGGGAGGTGATATAATCCGCTGGTGCCTGCATCCTGCCCTACGTACCATATGTTGTACTCGCTCCGAAGAGCCTGTCACAGTGCAAAAGGACGGGATTTGTACCCTGAAGAGTCTGACCTGGGAGAAATTTAGGTGTGGATAGAATAAAAAATGTGCTCATTTCAGTAGGGTTTTTTTTTATGAGACTAGGTTTGTGCAGGAGGAAAGTGGGCTCGGCTGGGTAATGGTTTTACTGGGGAGCATTACTGCCCTGCAGAAGACTGTCAGGGAGCTGTGTCTTGGACTCCCCACGCACTCAGCTGAGCAAACTTGAACTGGTTTGACACAGCGTTTACAAAAGTAGGACAGGCTTAATTTAAATATATATTAATTAAAAATAATCAAATCTATAGTGGAATCTGAAATGTATATAGCAGACCTTAAGAAACCTGCAGCCAGTGGAAACTACTGGGATTTCCCTATTTTTATACAAAGACTTTTTTCAGCAAAAGGGAACCTGATTGTATGAGGAAACAGTGAAACTCATTGCAGAGGGTAATGAAGCTGAAAAGTAGGAAGGGGGTGGGGAGAAACTGTTTCTTTCTAGCTCTCATTCTATTAAATGTTTTTGGTAAGTCCAGCGGGTATGATAAGGAAGCAGTAACAGCCCATAGATAGCAACTGCATGCCAAATACGCTTTGTTACCCACCTCATCCAGAGCTCATTAAATCGATGATCTTAAATCAGTCGTTAGGCCAGCAGTTAGGAGCTGTGATCGGTGTGTGCTAGCCTGGGAAGTCTGCAGCCCCTTTAGGGTTGTGGGCCTATAAAAATACAAGTTCCTAACTCGGACCCTTTTCAAACAGCCTTAAAAAAAGCAGAGTTATTTTTCATCAAAAACACCTAAGATACAATTCATAAAGTATATGGCTGTGGGCTTTATTGGTTCAAAGTCAACATCTGCTTGCACATGCAGGGCGGGAGAAGCGGTAGCGGCACCCCCGTGAGCTGCTTTGCAGAAGCAAAGCTGTGCCGATGTGGGGGCCATGCCGGCGCTCCGAGCGAAGCCAGCAGCGCGGGCTGCCGTGGGCTGAACGCTTGGAGCTGCCGCATCGCGTCTCAGTCCTGCAAAACCCATTAGTTGGTGCAGTATTTACTGTTGCAGGTAGTTGCATTAACGTCAGCGCGAACAGATACGCGAGGGCTCTTCTGGGCATTGAGAAATCACAAGCTAGCAGGGGGTGGACTGGATCTTAGAAAAGCGTGGGCTCTGCTGGAAGAAGCCCTGGGACTCGCTGCCTGTCTCATGGCGGGATTGTTTTGCTGCGCTCGTGCCTCTTGTGAAACGCTATCTCCCCTTCCCAGCGCGCGCTGATGGGGACACTGGCTCCCCGATAAGGCTTTCTTCTCGCAGGGTGGGGACAGGCTGTCCCCTGTGGGAACGTGGGTGGCTGCGCTGCCCACAGCCCCCAGCGCGGCCAAAAAGGGGTTTGTTCGCTTGAACTCGCCTTCAGATGGCTCTCCGCGCTGGCTCCTGGAGAGATAACGCTGAGCCCCGTGCCACAGCGAGTCCTAAGCGTGCCTTTTATGTTGTCGTTCTCCTTTCTTCTTAAGATACGCCTTAAAAAGCTGAATTTGGGTTATCTGATCTATGAGGGTGGTATTAGTGCTGTACACGCTATGGACTGTAAATGCTCTGGTTTGAAATTTGGGTAATAAAAGACTGATTGTTAAATGTTGTGCAGCTGCCTTATAAGCCTGGCTTTCACAGCGATGGGCCCGTTTGAAGGCACGAGACCGTCCCTGGCACTTGCAGACCTCTCTCTGCTCGCCAGCCAAACCTTCGCTGCTCTGGTTTTGCATGAGTTGGCCCAAGTGGCTCGGGCTCAGCTCTTGTTGGTTTGATTCATGAGGGATTTAACGTGTAATTCCTGGAAAGGGTGTTACGGAGAGATGCTAATCTGCTGGGTTAGTTTAAAAAATAAAAAAAAAGAGAGAGAGGAAGAAAAAAAAAGGGGGGGGGGGTTAAGTTGTTTGTAACTATGGCCACAAAAAGATAATTGAAAACCAGTGGTAAGATCTAATCATGGCCTTGTCCCTTAGAATAGCTGAAGGATTTTCTTAAAGTTTCAGCTGAGGACAGAAGAGGAACGGGATGACACCACTCCTTTACTTATGGAGCAGTGGCCCAGCAATATTAAACCTGGCTGAACTTTAAACTTGATGTTCACTTTAAACTCACTGAAACGTGTGATGCTCCAACTCTGCTGAAGTCCAAATGAAGCTTGTCCTGCACTTTGCCGAGCCACGGCTGTATCTGTGTGGCAGGGGAGAGGGATAGCTCTCCATGGCCTAAATATTTTGATAATGACTTCAGTGTCATGGCCCAGAGCTTGGCAGTGCTGCTGACAGTGGGAGCTGAGGGCAGCTGTGTGGAAGAGAAAGCTTAGATGAAGGCTTTGAGCCTTTCACCTTCAAGCACATGGCAATCGTTGCTCCTTAGAAAAATCCCTGCCCAGCATGTCTCATGATTTTTTGAAATTTATTTTCTTCAGTGTGCAGTTCCTTGGGAAAAAAGGTTCTTTTTCTCATCCTTGGCGTGCTGCTGTCTGTAAATCTGGGGTCCTCCTTGTGAGTCTCAGGTCAAACCCACCCCCACTGCCACACCACACAGTCGCGGGTCCCCGGGGGGCTCTGCCCGCCTGCGGCGGATGGCTGTGCTGC